ATCGGACCAGTCCCCCTCAATAAGAGAGGAGCTGCTGCTGCCTCCTGTCTCTTCTGCTGCTGCTGCAGCAGCAGCAGCAGCAGCAGCAGGACCGTTCGATAGCAGCAGCAAACTCTCCAGCAGCCCCCCAGGTGTACGTACACTGCGACGAGCTGACTGGGGCCTCCCCAGCGACAGCCAGAGTGCAGGGGCCCTATCATCAGCTGCTTCTGTTTCTGTTGCTGCTGCTGCTGCTGGTGCTGCTGGTGCTGCTGCTGCTGCTGCTGCTGCTGGGGCTGCACTGTCTGCTGCTGCAGCAAAAGAAGCGCAGCCCAGCAAGACACGGGTGAGTGTCTGCTGCAGCGAGAGAGAGGGGATAGAGCGGCAGACAACAGCAGCAAACTGTAGTGCTGCAAGAGCTCTCTGCTGCTGCTGCTGCTGCTGCTGCTGCTGCTGCAGTTCGTACCCGTCAGCTATACCTCCTGCTGCTACTGCTGCTGCTGCTGCTGCTGCTGCTGCTGCTGCTGTGAAGCTGCCAGCAGAACGAAGATTAAAGCCGGAGGAGGGGCCCCCAGTGAGCTGCAGCTGTCTGCTGGTGCTGCTGTTGCTGCTGCTGCTGGTGCATGTGGGGTTATCTGCTTCTCTTCTTGCTGCAGCAGCAGCAGCAGTGAATCCTCGCAGCAAGCAGCAGGATACAAAGAGCTGCTGCGTCTCGTTGCTGCTGTATTGTTCTAGCAGCCCCAAGTGCAGCAGCAGCAGCAGCTCAGATAGAGACACAGACCAACCCTCAACAGAAAGGGGGAAGGCCCCCCCTGCATGCTCCTCAAGGGCCCCAGACAAGCACTCTACGAAGACAACAGCACGGCTGCCGAAGGAGCCAGATTGCTGCTGCTGCTGCTGCTGCTGCTGCTGCAGCTGCTGTTGCTGCTGCAGCTGCTGCTGCTGCTGCTGTTGAGGCCTTTGATCCCATGGTGGAGCGGTCGAAGCCCGCAGCAAAAACGCCTGTCGTAGCTGCTGCTGCTGCTGCTGCTGCTGTTGCTGTTGCTGCTGCTGCTGCTGCTGCTGCTGCTGCTGAAGGGCACAGGGCAGCAGGGAGGGGATGAGCTTCGCCAGAGCCCGCAGAGCAGCAGCAGCAAGGCCCCCTCTATCGGTATCAACAGCTGCTGCATGCAGCAGCAGCTCACATATTGCTGCTGCTTGAGACTGAGGAACAGCAGGAGACACAGAGAGAGGGACAGAGGAGGGATCGCCACCAGCAGCAGCAGCAGCAGCAGCAGCTGCTGCTGCTGCTGCTGCTGCTGGGGCTTCTGCTGCTGCACGCTCCGCCATCAGAGCCAGGCAAGAACACACCGCAGGCATCGCTGACTGCAGCAGCAGCCCAGCACCAAGACACTCCAGTAAGACAGGGAACAGCAGGTCTGCAGCAGCAGCAGCAGCAGCAGCAGACACAGCAGCAGCAGCAGCAGCAGCAGCAGCAGCAGCAAGACATCGGGGCATGAGCTGTGAAGCGAAAGCTGCAGCAGCAGAAACTGCTGAGAAGCAGTCAAAGACACAAAACAGCTGCAACAACAACAGCAGCAGCAGCAGCAAGCGCAGCAGCAGCAGCACCAACAGCAGCAGCAACACCAACAACAGCAGTAGCAGCAATAGTGAGACAGACACCAGAAGCAGCAGCAGCAGTAGAAGCACCGACACCAACAGCAGCAACAAAAGCAGCCGCACCAGAAGAGACAGCAGCAGCAGAAACAACAGCAACATAGGCAGCAGCAACAGAGCGAGCAGCAACAGAGGCAGCATCAGCAGCAGCACCAGGGACACCAGCAGCAGCAGCAGCAACAGAGACAGCAGCAGCAGCAGCAGCAGCACCAGTGACACCACCAGCAGCAGCAGCAGCAGCAGCACCAGTGACACCACCAGCAGCAGCAGCAGCAGCAACAGCAGAGACAGCAGCAGCAGCAGCAGCAGAGACAGCAGCAGCAGAGACAGCAGCAGCAGCAGCAGCAGCAGCAGCAGCACCAGGTGTATCCTGAGCTAAGACCTTGAAGAGGACGTGAGCTGCTGCCCCTCTGAGGACAGCAGCAGGGGAGGTGCAGACTTGCTGCTGCTGCTGCTGCTGCTGCTGCTGTTCTAGCAGCGATGAATCTGACCATTCACCTGCTGCTGCTGCTGCTGCTGCTGCTGCTCCCTCGCTGCAGTCTACAGGGCAAAGACACAGCAGCCGCAGCACAAACACGAGGACACCGAAGACAGCAGCAGGAGGTGCATGCGTCCAAGCAGCAGCAGCAGATGCAGTAGCAGCAGATGCAGCAGCAGCAGCAACAGCAGCAGCAGCAGGTGCAGCAGTTGCTGCTGTCCTTTCTGCTGCATCTGTCTGTGCTGGTGCAGTCTCTCCTGCTGCTGCTGCTGCTGCTGCTGCTGCTGCTGCTGCTGCACCCTCTAGCTGCCCTCCTCTCTTAAGCGAGAGTCTCCGTCTCCTGGTTAGGGACTGTCTCCTTGCAGCAGCAAGTCTATCTTCATCTGA